TCTTTTACAATTGCACGTTCTTCTTTCACACATGAAACACAGGTGAGAGATTGTTTGCGTAAGTAATATTAAATATTTTTTGGTGAATGATTATTTTCCCTATATTACCTAGCAAGCAAGGAGCTATCAGTACCATTTTAAGATCACCAGATACAGACCCTATTCTTTGTTTTGTTCTTAATTTGACCACACTATTGAGACCACTGATTTAAAGGCAACACCTACCTAGATCTTAATTGTTTTTGTTATTTTGTTATTATCTGCTAGAATGCTCTTAGACTTGACACTTGAATTTACAAGGTGTCAAAACACCTATTGTATTAAATAAAGTGATACAGTAAATTTTAGAGTGGTTTTATTGTTGCTTCAAACACATTTATTTTGAGAAAATTGTTTTCTTATTTGATGGGTGAATTATGTACATCATGTAATAATTAATATTGAAATCAAACCAAATAGAATTTGATATTAAATTTCTTCAGATATATGTTTTCTCCCATCAGATGTAACATTATAACATACTTTTACATTGTATTTGCAGGTTAAGATCATATTAAATGACTAAAATAGACCATGGTCATAAAGTGTGGAAACAATAATAAGAATATTCACAATTAAGACTACCCTCAATTAAGACCACTTAAATTTGGCCCAGTCCCGATGTTGGTCTTAATTGAGGGTTTTTACTGTATTACTATATTACTTTCCTTGAATATTTAAAGCATATACATGTATCATGTACACTCATAGACACTGCTTATAGTTTAATATTGGACCATCGTTAGATACATTGCACATGGTAAGAAAATAAAACATATCAGATTCAATTAAACGCTGTATATGATAATCGTTAGTGTAATATATCAATTATATAATACTGGACTTGACAAAGCGTTTCAAGCGAAATGTAAAATAGTTGCTGAATCAACCTGCGAGTTCGAAATCTCTAAAATCGCTACCAGCAGAATATATTGACGAGTGTGTGCAAAATTACAAGACAAATAACTTCTAATTGAAATTAAATTTAAATTTGCGATTTCTGTTATTTAATGAAACTTGGAATGCTTCTAGTAAAAACGTTGATATAAATAAAAATACACACATGCCACCATTGTGCCACCGTAGCCAGGCAATAAAGTAGAAATATATTGTATTTTAGGAAATCAAATCATCTCCTTTTGAAATATCTAACTTTAACATTTCTATTCTTCTTGCATGCGTTTTGTTATACAAGCATTATAATTTTTAATTTGTTGTACGTACTGTACGCATGATTTCTGAAACTGATGAGTTTTGGGACTGTTGTTGGATAAGTATAATAATTTGATGAAATTGAAGCGGGTGTATTGTATGAAATGATTTTCTGACACCTTTTAGGACATTTTATTTTCATGTAACAATAAAACATATAATAGTATTTGATACTTTGAACAGTGATTCCTTGTGGAGTGAAATTCTACGGTCAAGAATAACTGTAAACCGACAAATATGATTAAATGTATTTATTCTTATGTTTAAGCCTGTGTGAAATTGCCAATGATATGAACATATCTGATGTTTTCAGTGTAGCAATCGGTCTAAAACAGGGAGAATCATTGTCACCTTTACTTTCTATACTTTTTAGCTCGACTATTCGAAGAATATGTGAGCTATTGTAGTCGCCCCGGCGTCGGCGTCGGCGTCAGCGTCCGCGTCGGCGTCTGCGTTGGTTAAAGTTTTTTGTAAAGTCAAATATCTCAATTATTACTTGAGATATTCAATTGAAACTTACAATACTTATTTATAGTAACAAGGTACATCAGATTGACAAGTTGGATAACTCTGCCTACAATATTGACAGAATTATGCCCCTTTTTAACTTAGAAATTTTGGTTAAAGTTTTTTGTAAAGTCAAATATCTCAATTATTGCTTGAGATATTCAATTGAAACTTACAATACTAATTTATAGTAACAAGGTACATCAGATTGACAAGTTGGATAACTCTGCCTACAATATTGACAGAATTAAGCCCCTTTTTAACTTAGAAATTTTGGTTAAAGTTTTTTGTAAAGTCAAATATCTCAATTATTGCTTGAGATATTAAATTGAAACTTACATTTCTTATTTATAGTAACAAGGTACATCAGATTGACAAGTTGGATAACTCTGCCTACAATATTGACAGACGTATGCCCCTTTGGAACTTAGAAATTTTTGTTAAAGGTCTTCAAAGATATTTACTTGAAACTTTACACATGCACTTAGGGTCATAATTGGAGGGTCATAATTGTATGTCACTGACCAAGTTCCATAACTCCATCTTGCATTAAGGCTCCTGGCTGATTCATAACCCCTTTCTACTTAGTATCTTGGTTAATGTTTACATGCAAGTTTTACATATCTCAATAACTATTAAAGATATTTATTTAAAACTTCTCATATGCAATTAGGGTCATAATTGTAGGTCACTGACAAAGATCCATAATTCTATCTTGCATTTAGGCTGATTTTTCTCCCCTTTTTTCAACTTAGAAATTCATGGTAAAGTTTTGCTTGTAAGCTGTTATCTCAATAACTACTTAAGGGTTTGTGTTTTTTTTTGGGACAATTTTATGCATTCATGATAACAAAGCAGTGATTTACTTGATAAAACATCTTAATAACAAGCCTTTGTACCTTTTCTGTCAAATTTATGTATTCATAGGTAATTAGTATTATTATACTCAATAAAACACCCTTGTGACATTTCCTTCCGAATAGTCAAGGCAATACTGTATAATTAGACTCTCTCTAAGGCCTATAACATGAATTTATAAAGAAAATTAGCCCTTTTGTGAACTTAAAAAATTATACATTATCAAGGCTCTTTTACTATCAAGCACTTAGAATAGTCGCGAGCGTGCTGTCCTACCGACAGCTCTTGTTATAAATGATATTAATCAAAACACGAATTTTGATGTGTTAACTGAAAGCGATTTTGAACTTTTGTCTATGTATACGATTTTATTTGCGTCTGGTGAAATTGTATTGTTTACGACTGATCCAAAATGTCTACAGGCACAAATAGATGATGTGCTCATTATTCTGTAAAATGGGGTTCAGAAATAAACGTTATGTGTTTTTTTAGATAGAAAGCAATATGTATACTCTTTTTTATATAGATAAAGAAAATTAAGAAATTGTTGAAAATTTGTAAATCTTGGAATCAAGTTTACATACACTGATACCATGTTACAGGTTGATAAAGCATTACATGAGCAAGCTCTCAGGTCATATAAATAACCTTTTAAATGTATTTGATAAAGTTAGTCTTGATATAAGAAGCAAGTTATCTCATTTTGATTCTATGATAGCATCTATACTAACGTATGGCTGTGAAGTGTGGGGCTTTTCTAATTATAAAATTAAACAAATAATTTTATAAGTTTATATTAGGTGTAAAAGCAGACAGAAATCTGCTGTGTGTGGTGAACTTGGTCGAGTGCCTGAGGTGATAATCTATTATAAGTTTTGGTTAAAAGTTATGAAAAATAATCATCTACCTACTTCCCACACGAAAAATGATCTATGTAACAATGTTAATACTGCTTGTTGGGCCAGTAGAATAAATTCTAGTTTAGAATGAGAGACCAGTTTGTTCAAGAATGGAGTAATAGTATTAATTTTACGTCAAAATTCCAAATATAAAACTTAATTTTGTTATGAAAAATATTTAAATATTATATCGAATGGTAAATTGAGGCAACATATAACCAGTTTACGATAATGGTCACATAGTTTACAAACATAATTAAGTAAATACAGTAATGCAGAAAGAAAAAATAGGTTTTGCAAATTATGTAGCAAAAATACAATAGAATCTGAATACCATTTTATCTTATGTTGTTCCGTTACAGTCTTAAAAGATCTAAATTCTTAGGATATTGCCCCTCGCCTTCTTTGCAAAGATTTAACTCAATACGTTGTAGACTCTTGTTAAATATATTATAGAAGGTTTATGCCTACGAAAATCTGTCCTTGAAAATTTACCTGCCTTTCTGATCTTATGGCGTTATTATTTGTTTATATGTTTACGTACATGCATGTGATTGTCTGTCCCATAAGATCTGAAACTGAAACATTATTCATTTTTGCATCGTGTATTGTAATACGGAAGTTGCTTCTCGAGATCTAGTATACTTTAAATGATTTTATAAAGATAAATATGAATAATTTTCTAAAGTGGGTGGTATTTATCTTCCTACAATTAAAATCAAATAGTCACGGTGAACAAAGCGTAATTTAATTAATAATCATGAATTCAATGCATCTTCAACAACCTTATACAGCATTAAAGTTATAAAGCGTATTTAACGTTAAAATAAATATAAATGACAGTAATAATTTAAAAATGAATGCTTTATCTTAAATGTTGTATACGTCCCCTACAATCTCTGTGTAAATGTTTAAATACATCTAAATAATGTCATTTTTGTATCCCTTGTCAGAGAACAATAATCAATTATTGTGATATAAAATGAAAACATAGGGTAGCTACAAGACTTATTCATGTTGTGTGACAACAATACATTTGTTTTAACTATATTTCGTCTAAAATTATATTCATGTTTTATTTTGCTTACGAGATCATTGATTTTAATACTATAAGTCTTGAAGATATTTTTTTTTTCATTGGAGCCGTGCACAGATTTGTTTTCATTTTTCAGAATTTTAGTAAGAGCCATGGTAGACATTATGCACATGTTTACAGAGTGATGAAATAAACCATGCTGGGATGTTTTTCCAACGATCAAAATTATTGAAATCATCGATTAAATATTACACATAATCATGTATTATACATGTATGTATTATATGTATAATATGAATTTTATCTATGAAATATGTATAAACTACCATAGAATAATCAACATTTCTTGAACAAGTCGTTTTTAAGAACATAGAGAGTGTGACTCATATACAAGTATTATCAGTATAAATAGTATTGGTGATGCACGCTACAGATAAATATATCCATAATAGTGCCACTTAACATCACTTTAAAAAAAAAGATAGAAATTGATAATAAATGTCATAAGATGATTGTGCATCATTAAGGGTTTAAATGTTTCACGCAGTTTATACTGTAGTGCATAACAGTTTAAGATTTCATGTCAGTCTCACTTCATTATAAAATGGAAAGAATGAGCAGTTTAAGAAATGTGCTTAAATCAGCCGACTTTCCAATAGTTGCTAGACTATATGATACGCAGGAAATTGCCGGGAAAAATTTAATCGAAGGGAAGGAAGTTTTGTTTCAAAGACAAATGAAGGTGAAATATGCACAGGTGAAAGTGCTTGATTTTAACAACAAGGATGAAATACAAGAAGAGAAAGGTGTTGATTTCATCATGGAACACGATAATTATGTTGGTAACAAATTTTTGATACCAAGTAAATACACTGCATCATTGAAATTTATTCATAGACCTGGAAGTTGGAAAAGATTTGCTTCAATTTCGCAGGTATAATCTATTTTTAATCTAAAATATTATAATGAAATACATTGTGTTGATCTAATGAATTACTTTAGTAATTACATCTATATTATTTCATATTTGATATTAACAATTTTACCTGTTTTGAACTATTGTTAATTACCCGCCATTGAAATAAGTAAACTTTTCAAATTCAAGACGAGATTGGTGATCTCCCTTTCTTTCGATTATCGTATTCTAAAGATTGCAAAGTTTGCAAATTTTCTGTTACATGTTTATAGTTATCATTCCGCTTTTTGTCTATATGTAACCCTAGCAAACACCTTAAAGATGGTTATTAAATAATCTGAAATAGCGTTATGGTAATTTCATTATATCTTGGACAACAAGAAGACAAATTACTCATTAATTCGATAACATTATCTTATTAATTTCACGCACAGGTTCTTCTTGAATTGCCAAGATTCGTTCTTGTAGGAGAAGAAACAGTCGTCTCCCCATCAAATGGCATTGGTAAAAATGTCATAATTCCCGCCAAAACAGTAATTGAATTAGTGAGAAAATTCACTGTCAATGGCATAACATACCTTGAATGTAATGATGGCTACACATCATTTTCATTCAGCGAGACTGACCGAGTAAATTTCACTGCAGTCGAAGATGAAAAATATTACCATATGTACGAACTTGTGCGTATGAAACTATTGCCCAGACCATTTCAATTCAAAGATGTGGAACCAGAAGATGTTATACACTTAAACGAGGAATTAAACAGTGGAGTGTTGACAGTGGCTGAAGGACCTTTAGATTTGATGAAATTTATCGATATTGATATTGTCGTTGGTTGGTTAAGAGATAGCTATAAGAAGACATATAAAACTTTTATAATTCCAAGTAGGTTATGGCCTGTAACCAAACTGGAGACGACATCATTTCCTGACCGACAAACAAAGGATGCATACATTGAAAGCTGGTATAACAAATGTGTTAATACAGACTTTGTGGAAAAGAAACTATACGAAATGTCAGAGGACGAGAAAATAACATGGCTTGCAAGTCCTGATTTCTTTGAGCGAAGGTACTCGGGAAATTGTATGTTTAAAGTGGTTGCCATTGGATATATAGGTACGTTCATTACATAAAACACATTCTATTTAACTAACACCCCTTACAACATTTAAAAAAGTAAAAAGTAAGGAAAATATACATGTATACAGAAACAAAGTAACATTTCACTGTCCTTTTTAAATAAAGATAGACTAATTTTCAAGTATGAATATCTTTGACAGCATTTTAATGTTGAATATCTTTTTTGGTATTCGGGTTGACGTGTATATTGTATACTTATTTTTAAATTGAATTTAGTGTTTTTCAGAAAATAGTTAATTAATTTCTATATAGAATCATGACCGTAGTCAGTAGGCCTAGTCAATTTTTGTATTCTATGTTCCATAGTTAATCAGTCACATTTATGGCATAAATCGGTACGCCACTATCCTTGATGAATTATATACTGTCTTCACCGTGAAACATCAACATTTTTCAAGTCAGATGAGCCCCAATATAATATGGTAGCCGTATACTTTTTTCAGAAATCTTCATTCTGTTTTGACACTATATTATTGTACGCTCTGCTGGCGGGTAGCACATTTTTAATCCCTCCATCCAGAAATAAGGTCCTGAGAAACACACACACACGCGCGTGCGCGCGCGCGCATTCACGCACACACACATACACACACACAAACAACTTTTGAAGTAATCATTTAATATACAAAAATAAACAGATGCATTTAAAACTTGAAGTAAGAACAATCAAACTAGGGATAACTTATATCGGGGCACTTGAACATGCTCAAGAACTGTTTTCTGGATTACAATGGGTTGTGTATAATTCCGCACCGGAGTAACACCTTAAAGGCAATCGGAACATCTCGGCTATTATCAATAATAACCCCTAATCCGAAGACTGACAGAAAGGGCCGAACATGTATTAATTTACTGACATATTCTACATTTTCATTGGCGGGAGTTAATTTTGAATTACCGCGCAATCATTCCATTTTGCAGGAAATGTCGTTATGTTATAATTTCTTATCTTCATCCAAAAGGCATACAGAAAGACGTTGTTCAATGCACCTTTCTCCATAACAACGTCATCAAATCATGCCACTCTAATCACACCTAAAAAGTATCAGATAATATTTTCCAGCACCTTTGCAAACACTAAAATATCCTGTATGATTTGCAAGAATATTCCAGTTTGATATGTAAGTAATTTGTAGCATTAACATTTTACGATGTTATTTCCAGATTCCGGTGATGACGAGGATGACGATACTTATTCTGACATGTTTGACTGTCCTCCACCTATTCCAGGTAAACATCCATCCTTCCATCCATCCATCCAATGCTATGCAATGCAACGCAATACAAAACAATACAATACAATACAATACCATAAGTTTAGTGAGAATCACTTTGAATATATTTAATTGTTCATTATCTTTTATCACAGAACAGAGTTATGTGGTTTTGTCAGGTGAGCATGTTAGATATCACTAGGTTAACACGACATTTGATTTTTATTTGTTCATGTTCACATACACGTTTTAAGTGTCGAGTTTGATATTAATTCAAATACGACAAAGATTTTGTTGAGGCTTTAATTAAAAACTATTATTGACATTTCAGACAGACCAACACACATTCCACCAAATTTGCCACCTAGAGTTAAGGTAAACTCTTTATATATTCATGAATATGTATTTAATTAATAACGAGAATGTCAAACTGTCACATAATACACCAATTAGAACCATAATGAAATATCAATGTGTAACAATGATAAGATCTGAAATAAATGTATACTAGTGGTGTATCACTTAATAAAGGGAATACTAACTTTCATCCAAGATTTTTCGTCATTTTTTGCAGTAGAAATGCGGTAACACTAAAATGTCTCAGTCAAATTTGCTACTGGTCGAAAGCGTTCATGATATCATGTTTATGTCCGATTATTTTACGTTTTATTTGCCAAGCCCTAGTCATTCGATAAATTCTAATCACAGAGTGTCGATGTCTGCGTTTTTTATTATTATTATTAATTTGAATGATACTGGCAGTGTTACTACATTTACTAGAATTTCTAAAGTGTATTGATAAACTTTGCCCACCAATCTGACTAATTCTTCCGCCCATGAAAAAATATTACACCCACTTATTTTGTTCTTCACAAGTAAGTGTAAAAATTCAATGGATATTGGAATAAAACGTTAAAGAAGTCTGTTGCCTTTTAAATGACAATGTTCCATGTTTGCTACATTTTCTGTCTTTGTTCAATTATCTATTTATTTTTTGATTTGGAATAGGAGAAAGCCACAATATTTGCTAAAGTGCATAAAGAGTTACTGAAATGGGTCATGCCCCAAACCAGTAAACAGAGGAACATCCCAAATGAAAACTTGAAATTACAAGCGGGCGTTTCAGGAAAAGATGAACACTCTAATAACTACAAGAAACCACAAACAGATGGGGCAATGAAAGGTGATAAAGGCAGGTACTTACACCCAATTGATAATTCTGCTCACCAAGTTCAGTCAAATATGGACATAAGTATGGATTTGTTACGCACGGAAAGTTTGTCTTCGTTTGAGGTAAGTTCAGAATCTGATTCTGATACATCTGAATCTGAATCGTCAAGCGACCATGATTATGTCGAACCTGAAACATTTGAATATCCTGATAAGCCAGAATTACATGTTCAGTCAGTGGAAGTACAACCATATAATTACTACACGGAACCAGAGGAAATAGATTCTGACGTGGCTGATGACTACGAGGACATTCCAATGAAAGAAAGCCCGGCTGTTATGAAGAGTTCCGATTGTCTTGCCTCTTCAAATGATAACCCTTTGCTTTCGTTTGAACGCAACGGACATATTCCGAACGATTCTACATCGTCAATACAGAGCAGAGAAATCTTAAAACCAACTGAAGAAGAGTTTTATCAGTATTCTGTTTCAGAAACATCACAATGCTTTAAACTATGTGGTATTGCTGAGTTTGCAGAACAATGTAACGAATACAAACTTGATGGTTCCTTTTTCAGACAATTTGACCTGCAAACCCTTAGAGAAGATCCTTTTAATTTCACAAGCTTTCAAATTTTGAAGATAAAGAAAATTATATTTGAAGGCTGGCGACCAAAAATTGATAATCGAAATTAATAAAAGAAGTTTATGAAAAGGAAAGGCGACATATTTAATAAACAACCTCTATAGAGTTATTGAAGATGACTATTTAAGACAACTTTATCACCAATGAAAGAAAATCATCAGCTGTCGTTGTTCAAGGACATATCCCATTTTATTTCTTAATTGTTAAAATATAACTGTTTTTTTTCTCAGTGTGTAATTGTGTTAAGGATTTTGTGTTTTTCTGTTCAAGCTGAGATATTGGGCGCTGTTGTGATACGGTTAATAAGATAAGATAAGATAAGATAAGATAGTTTATTAAAGTCTCATCATCATGTACAATATTAAAATAATACAAATATAAAACCTACGACATTGTACATAAATGCCACTCATAGATGAGTTATAAGAGACTATACATAACTTTACAACAAATCTAACAATACCTGGACATATCTAACAAAGTTACTTAAAAATAAAGACCAAGTATTTTTTCTTTTTTTTTAAAAAAAAAATAAAATAAAAATAATGGCAAGTGTTGAGACAACCAGCACTGTAATTTATTTAGTTGAAATTCTGTGTAGTTTGTGTTGTTATTGCTGGTTGTAAGATTTTAAATGTTTTACAAGCAGTGGTACAAAAGTTTACAGTGTTCCGAGAAAACGCCCATGAATATATGCAAGATCCTAACACACATCCGAAAGTTCATCCAAACACTATACCCCTTGAATATAATGTGTATGTGTATTTTACCTAAATAGTAAATAATATTGGGTGTTAAAGCAATAAACAAGAAAGTGTGATTTATTCATGACTAGACATCGCAGTCCTATAGTATCATAAGACCCTATTTGTAATGTTAATACAACCGTATCTGTTACAATGGTTCAATTGAAGAAAGCCTCAAACATAAATTTTATTTGACTAAATAAAGCAAGATCAAATATTTCGCATTTTAAACGAATATTAATAAAATAATAAAAAATAACAGAAATCTTAAATTATGTTTTTATTTACGTCCCATTTATTGGAAAGCCTTTTAAATTTTGTATATTTTGTCATTTCACCCATGAAAAATATTCTAAAAACGGACAAGCAAATTATTTACATATTATTAAAACGATAACTCCATAAAAAAATCAAAAATATTCAATGGATTTTAAAGTAACAATTTTCTTTCTCTCAACAAATATGGTGGCAGGCTTTGGCAGATAAATATACTAGGTTTTCACTACTAAAAATTGTAACCATTTTGTCATCATCAGATATAATATGCTAAAGTGTTTTATGTTATTAGTTCAGGTGCGAATTGTGTTTGTGTTGAAGTTAAAATATTATAAAGATGTTACTCAGTTTAGTTTAGATGGTATTATTTTAAGCTGTTTAAGATTTTTATTGTGTTTAATTTGATATATAAATGTATTCAAGTTAAGATGTTACTGTGTGTCTAACTTAAAATGTACCATGTTAGTATGTTTATAATGTGTTTAAGTTAAGGAAATATTGCATGTAGAACTTAATAAAATTTACGTTAAGTTAATGTGTTATGTTCACTGGACTATTGCTGACACGGTTAGCTTACTGTTTCGGTGTTTTATTCGCATGTCTTGTGAACATATAGGTTTAGCCAATTAATAAAATATCGTTTAAAAATGTATATAAAAATTATCATTTACAAATCGCAATTGCAATAACTATAAGAAATAACTTAATATTAATTGACCTTTGTTCTGATATAAAAAGAATATTGTTAAGTAGGTAAAGCGGTAAACAATGGCAAGCTTATTCATTTTAAACAAACTGTCTCCTATTAAGTGTTTAAATTGTCTCATCACTTTACAACGAATTGTTCATTTAATTACTAATGTTCTTAATATGATAAATATAAACATAAAAGCTCATGCCTAAGTTCCCCATAAAACAAAAATAGATTTGTTTCATATTTCACAATGTGAAATCATGCACTTTTAAATAACAGATAGGAAAAGCAGTTTCTTCGGCATGAAATGGGATGGTAAATAAGTTGCGCTGACCACCGATAACAGGCACATTGATTACTTCCCTTAAAGGAACTACACTGAAGTTTATAAGCCTAAAACATAACATTTTAATTTTTCACATAGATAAACATGAGCACTTTAAACAGAAATATTAATGAAATATAACTAAAAAATACACAAGAAATACATTGAAAGTCATATGTTTGTGCTATTCTCAGTCCGATTTGAGTGAAAAGCGTTTAAACGTTTTTCAATTTTGGGTCATTTTTCACTATGATAATAATTATTCTGGAAAAACGGAGCAAGCTAATGATCTGATATTTTGCACATAAGTTATTAGTATAGACCTACATCAAATGGAGTAATAATCTCAGAAAATTATTTCCAGTCCCGTCATTGGAGTCCCTTTAAAGTGGAATACATTGTGAGCAGGTCCGAAATCAATGTTGAGTATAAAACTTGTCTAATGTGAAAAATACGAAATGCTGACCTGTTAATTGTAGAAGGTTACAGGTGTAAACAAGCATCTTAGAGGGTTCGTGAAGTATCACTTTTTTGTTGGTTACATCAATTTTATTTTCAAAGTCGGATAAAAGTTCAATACAATAACAAGCAAACATCAGCTCTAATAAGCTTTTCACTTCGACTGTTACGTAGAAGAAAATATACTAAGACATGAACAAAATATTGCACATAAGAGTAGATATTATCATACATTCAAATTAGTCAAATAAACTCAATAATGAAACCTAAAATATGATGAATACATTTCAATACAATCAAGAGTATCTTGATGGACTGTTTGATTAAGAAACGGATTGAGTAAACATTTGAACTAAAAAGCGAGATCATTTATATATTAATATAAAATAAGCATCATTTAAAAAATAATAATCTAACATACTGTACATCTACGCATTAACATCAAATATACTGTACATCTACGTAGTAAACATGAAACATATTGTACATTTACGCAGTAAAACATCAAACATACTGTACATTTACGCAGTAAAACATGAAACATATTGTACATTTACGCAGTAAACATCAAACATACTGTACATCTACGCAGTAAACATCAAACATACTGTACATTTACGCAGTAAACATGAAACATATTGTACACACATTTACGCAGTAAAACATGAAACATATTGTACATTTACGCAGTAAACATCAAACATACTGTACATCTACGCATTAACATCAAATATACTGTACATTTACGCAGTAAAACATCAAACATACTGTACATTTACGCAGTTAAACATGAAACATATTGTACATCTACGCAGTAAACACCAAACATATTGTACATTTACGCAGTAAAACATCAAACATACTGTACATCTACGCAGTAAACATCAAACATACTGTACATCTACGCAGTAAACATCAAACATACTGTACATCTACGCAGTAAACATCAAACATACTGTACATCTACGCAGTAAACATCAAACATACTGTACATCTACGCAGTAAACATCAAACATACTGTACATTTACGCAGTAAACATCAAACATACTGTACATTTACGCAGTAAAACATCAAACATACTGTACATTTACGCAGTTAAACATGAAACATATTGTACATTTACGCAGTAAACATCAAACATACTGTACATCTACGCAGTAAACATCAAACATACTTTACATCTACGCAGTAAACATGAAACATATTGTACATCTACGCAGTAAACATGAAACATATTGTACATTTACGCAGTTAAACATCAAACATACTGTACATTTACGCAGTTAAACATCAAACATACTGTACATCTACGCAGTAAACATGAAACATATTGTACATCTACGCAGTAAACATCAAACATATTGTACATCTACGCAGTAAAACATGAAACATATTGTACATTTACGCAGTAAACATCAAACATACTGTACATCTACGCATTAACATCAAATATACTGTACATCTACGCAGTAAACATCAAACATACTGTACATTTACGCAGTAAACATGAAACATATTGTACATTTACGCAGTAAAACATGAAACATATTGTACATTTACGCAGTAAACATCAAACATACTGTACATCTACGCATTAACATCAAATATACTGTACATCTACGCAGTAAACATCAAACATACTGTACATTTACGCAGTAAACATCAAACATATTGTACATTTACGCAGTAAAACATCAAACATACTGTACATTTACGCAGTAAACATCAAACATACTGTACATCTACGCAGTAAAAATCAAGCATACTGAACATCTACGCAGTAAACATCAAACATACTGAACATCTACGCAGTAAACATCAAACATACTGTACATCTACGCAGTAAACATGAAACATATTGTACATTTACGCAGTAAACATCAAACATACTGTACATCTACGCAGTAAACATCAAACATACTGTACATTTACGCAGTAAACATCAAACATATTGTACATTTACGCAGTAAAACATCAAACATACTGTACATTTACGCAGTTAAACATGAAACATATTGTACATTTACGCAGTAAACATCAAACATACTGTACATCTACGCAGTAAACATCAAACATACTGTACATCTACGCAGTAAAACATGAAACATATTGTACATTTACGCAGTAAAACATGAAACATATTGTACATTTACGCAGTAAACATCAAACATACTGTACATCTACGCAGTAAACATCAAACATACTGTACATCTACGCAGTAAACATCAAAAATATTGTACATTTACGCAGTAAAACATGAAACATATTGTACATTTAAGCAGTAAAACATCAAACATACTGTACATCTACGCAGTAAAAATCAAGCATACTGAACATCTATGCGGTAAAACATGAAGCATACTCTACTTCCACACAGTAAAAATCAAGCATACTGAACATCTATGCGGTAAAACATGGAGCATATTGTACATCTACGCAGTAAACATTAAACATACTGTGCATCTACGCAGTTAACATCAAACATACTGTACATGAACGTATTTAAATCAAACATATTGTACATCTACGCAGTAAACATTAAACATACTGTGTATCTACGCAGTTAACATCAAACATACTGTACATTCAAACAAATTGTACATCAACGCAGTAACAATTGAACTTACTGTATATTTACGCAGTAAAACATGAAGCATACTGTACATCTACGCAGTAAAACATCAAACATACTTTGCATCTACGCAGTAAAAATAAAACATACTGTACATGAACGTAGTAAAACACAAACATTCTGTACACCTACGCAGTAAAACATCAAATATAATGTACATGTACGCAGTAAA